CTGCTGAAAATGAAGAGTCTTTTTAAATGCAATTATTCCTTAATGTATCTTCTTTTCTAAGCCTGGGTTTTCAGATAAGCTTTCCTAGAGTGAGATGGGCCATATCCTCTAAATCAAGCAAATACCTCAGTCAGTGCTAAGCAACGGGAAAGGTTTACAAGGTTAAAAGTCCATGCTCCCTGCAAGCCTCTCTAAACAGGATGCTGCCCAGGCCGTCACCGTCAGTGCTGTGACCACCGTCAATGTCCTCCCTAAGACGTCCAGACTGACCGCTGCCTCCAGTCCAGCTCCCTTCACAGTTTCATCCACACTCTTCAAATGTGCTGACGTGAAAACTGAACGTCCACAGCCCTGGCCCACTCACCCAGGCTTGAACCTCTGAGAACCTGACTCTTTACTCATTTATCCCTAATGTCCAAACTCCCACAATAATCGATGCATTTCTTTGAAATAAGTCTTGAAAAAAAAAAAAAAAACGAAAAACACTTTCCTTCGGTCTTACTGCACTTAACACTTCGGTCATGACGTTACACTCATCTTTCTGCAACTGCCTAATTAATGTTTTTAACCTCCCACTGCCTCCTATGGTTTGCTGGTCTAGAACATACAGCAAGTACCTGCCTCTTGCATGACATCCAAACTCGCAGTTTTCATGGTCCTCCACAAGTGCATCCCGCGTTGAACTGCCAATACTCCGTGACCCAAATATAACTGTTTTATTTCAGGTGTGCTTGTATTATCTCACTTAACCAAATCATAAATGCTCTGGGGGCACAGGCTCTGGATTTATGGGGTTTAATAAACAGTATTTAAGTATTAGAAACTTGCGCGCGCACACACATACGTTCTTTCAGACACAGCTAATCTACTTCTCAGGGGCAAACAGCCGGCAGTACCACATGAAACACACCCGCCATGGAAATGTCCAATTCCTTACTATTCTAGTCCTCAGCCATCAAGTAAAACGTCAGTCACTGCTAGCGTGCTGTTGATATGCTATTCTGCTCGGCAACCTCTACCTAGTTTTCCTCCACGTTAAATATGCTGGCTAATTTGAGTTTTTAGAATCAGTGAGCTGGAGACAATGAAACCGTTAAACAATCACTCTCCAGGGAAGATGATTTAAAACTCCTCAGACCAGAAACACATAGAGCGCCTGCTGCTGTCCTGCACAACCACCCCAGCCGTCTGCACGGTCGCCTGCCCCACTTGGGTCCCGGGTACCTCACTCTAGCACCTCGGATGCGTGTGTGCCTTCTGCTCGCTCCCCCGGCAGCTGTGTGCATGGAGAGCCTGGGCTCAGGGCTGTAGCAAAGCTGCCAGGGAGCTGTTAGTCTCACCAACACTAAACTCCTGGGCACCTAGGGATTATCCATAATGTAATTACTCCTCCAGAGGAGAGGCTGGTAAATGGGGCTACCTGGGAAAGAAGAGCCAGACAGAGGGGTCACAGGAAGAAAGCTGGTGGGAAGAAACTGAAAGACAGCGGGCAAATATATTTATGTCTCAATACCTGTCTTCTGTGTCTTGTGTCTTTTCAGAGCTCAGTGGCTTCAAATGCCCCCCTAAAAGTGTGGGCATATAAAATACGACAGGCTCAAGTCAAGCTAACTTCAAAGTTCTAGTTTACCCCCAAGAACTGCCTTAATTATATCACGTGAGTCTGGGCCAAAATTTTTTTCTTCTTCTTAAAGCTTCTAATTTTGAGACATGACAGAAAAGTCTTACAGGTACACATGGAAAAGCAATACCTGATCATAGTAGAAAGTGAAGACAATCTAATCAGAACTGGTTTTTTGTTTGTTTTTTTTTTTTTGCGGTACGCGGGCCTCTCACTGTTGTGGCCTCTCCCGTTGTGGAGCACAGGCTCCGGACGCGCAGGCTCAGCGGCCGTGGCGTGGGGGCCCAGCCGCTCTGCGGCATGTGGGATCTTCCCGGACCGGGGCTCGAACTCGTGTCCCCTGCATCGGCAGGCGGACTCTCAACCACTGCGCCACCAGGGAAGCCCTAATTAGAACTGTTTTTAACTGTCACAGAAGGCTTATAATGGCTGTTGAACATGTCTGAAAATTGCTTTTTCTAAGACTTACATTTTTCAGTCCTGAAGGCATCAGTTTTTACAACTCTAAAACGTTAAAGGATAGGGTGGAATTCATCATTGAATTCTTAGATGCTTAAATAAAACTTTAAGCATACTGTGAGCAAATAAAAGTTCTCTTAGGCCAAAGAAACAGCGTATGGAGATAAAGCAGACCCTATTTATATTGAAAATTCATGTCATCTTTTGGACGCAACATATTCTGTCTGTAGCACTTTAACCAACTTATTTAACTCAGCATTTTTAGAGACTGTAGGATGTTACTATGGTAACTGAGCACACTATGTATACCCAGTTCCACAGTATACTATGTATACTCAGTTTGGCACTTTGAAATGTACCAAAACATCAGGATTTACATAAACCTCCAACTGTGGTCCTGTCTAGGTGTAAAACCAATAGAACCGGTAATTATAATTTATTTAGGAGAAAAAAATACTTTATAACCTCTCAAACAGGCAACTGTTTGCTCTAAAGGGGAAAAAAAGTCTTTTTGTAACTGTTGATCGTTCCGAACTTCCTGACTTACCTTCAACAAATGTTTTTGCCTGTTGGGTTTTTAAATTTGTACGTGATCCACCCTGGCCCCTCTCTGGCATCTATAGACAATGAAAGCACATCACACACAACCTGTGGGGAGGAATGAGACCAGTGCATCTGTGGCTTCAGATCTAAGTTATACTGCTTGCCATGCACCCTGCTGAAACTGGTCCTGCGGGTTGTGGCTGCGACCACTACTCTCAAGACTGTGAACAATCTGCACATCAGCTTCTTTCTGTATTTCACATTCTTGGGAAGATCTGCACTTAAAAGATTTTCTCATTACATGAGAAACATGCCAGGCTGGTTGGCCGGCTGTTATGGTTTCCTGGAGGTTCAGTTTGCACCGCACTGTTTGAAGCTGCTCTTTAGTACACACTTAAAATTCTCATTCTGCCGCGGCTGCTGAGATGAACTCTGAGTTCACGGTGCAGTCAGTCATTCCTACAGATCTCCAGCAGAGCAGCTGTATTTCAAGAAACCCTAATCGAATGCTAGTAAGCTGCTCTGGCTCATGAATCTTATTTTTGGTTATTCCAATTTTTCAACTGAGGTCCAACGTGAACACTGTCAGTTCCCACTGTATTTACATCTTTCCAGACTATGCTTCCTACTTCTTCCATCTGCAGCCTCTGGATGGCCAGTGTGATGATGGCCCTCCTTTGCCTGAACTCCTGCAAGGTTTCCTATTGCATAAGTGCAAGGTCATCAAAGTCCCTGGGGCCTGACAACCATTCACCCCTCCGGCCTTATTCCCCGCTGCTCTCCCCGCGTTCCCGACTGCTTCCTCTTCTCTGAAGGTGCGGGTGTTTCTCGCTTCTGTGCGTGTGCACACTGTTTCTCATGCCCCTCTCTGAGAAACTCCCCTCTGCCACCCCCTCGGATATCATTTCTTCTGCAAGGCTCCGGCGTGAGATGCAGCGGCTCTTCCTCGTGTATCTCACACGAGCCCACGTCCTTCCAGCGCCCACCTTGCTGACCGAAACAGCTGGTCTACGTGTCTTCCTCCTACACAGGCCTAGCTCACCTTGGGTGCGCCTTGTAACTCACCACTAGGCCCTAAGTGCCGAGCACAGAGTATGACAGGGCGCACGGCTGCCGGGGTCAATTCCTGACATCATGCCGTGCGCCCGAAAGGGCTAACGTGACTCTAGTGGCACTGAGAATGACAAAACTGCTCAAAACTGCAAAGTACTGAGGAACATCCACGGGGCACAGTCTGAATGAATAGAGCTCCTGCAGTGCTCGACGTGGCCCTCGGGTGCCGCAGAATTTATGCCGTACACACTCAAGCGCTCATTCTCACATCCACTCGTCTTTATTATTACACATTTGCTACGTATCAGGCACAATGCTAGACATGTGAATACTGACAGCACAGAAGTGAGTAGGAAAAGACAAGGTCTCTGCCCGGGCAATGTTTACAGTCCGGTAGGAGAGAGACAATCGGTTCTCACACACGTGCGTAGAATAAACTTCAGGAAGGGGAGGGGCATGATGCCACGAGTCAATACAGGGTAAAAGGAACCAGCTGGCCGGGACTGGACGGAATGAGGCTTACGCAGGTCCTAAGGGTAAGAATAAGTTAGTCCCACAGAAAGGAAAGAAACGAGGTTCCGCGGGGAGGGGGGCAGGGCAGCGCATGCAGAGAGCCAGGGGGCAGCCTGGTGGTGCAAGGCGAGGGCCAGACTCAAGAGACCGGAGCTGCTTCTCACCCTGAAAGCACTCAGTAACGAACGGGGTTCTGAAAACGTTCTCCATGCTGTAGCCAGAAAAACATCTTTAAAGGGACCAGGGCAATGCAGGGAGACTGGTCAGGAAGCCACTAACATCACTTTTATCAGGGTGTTATTACTTGCCTCCTAAAAAGGAGACTCTTGATTGAGCTTTTAATGTTCCCTTCAAATCCAGACACCACTGAACAGTGTCTTTGCTAAGGAGCAAAATTCAGAGCGTCTCCGTGCTCCCGGGAGGCTGCCACTGTGAGAGCGTAAGGTTCTGTTCTAATCACCCACAGACGGGCTGCCGGGGACCCGCCGTGACTCCAGCGTGGCGATTACTGAGTGGAATGAGCCTCTAGTTTTAGCCGAGTTAGAGAATCCCTAGCAGGGGGCGCCCTCGAACAGAACGACAGAGGTTGATTTAGGCGAAAAACTCACGTTTTAAATGGCAACATATGACTTCGGAGTGATCAGTCTCTATGGGCGCAGTTACAATTCCAGCATTCTTCATTTACTAAGAAGTACTTTAACCGGGAATGGATTCGTTCAGCTTTTTGAAAAATGGCGCCCCTCGTAAAAGCATACGAAGGCACAAACTTTGCTGCAGTCGGCTCTTGTTTCATACTTAACGGCCCTCACACCTCATTTGCCTTACGTAAAGCCTTCTCACACAACACCCCGGCTCCGGCCACGACAGTCTACTCAGAGGTCTGGAAGCGAGAGCCCTGCCCTGCACGCTCCGGCCCTGCCTCGCGAGCACCTACTCCGCTCTCCGCGCGCAGCCCCAGCGGCGCCCGCGCTGTGGCGCTCTGCCAGCCTCCCGCAGTCCCCATCGCAACGCGAGGGCGTCATTGTTACAGCGCCCCGCGTCGTGGCTGCTCACGCTTCCTGGACTGTGAGGGCCGACACCAGTGGCACCTTCACCTGCGCGTCCTCGCGGTGAGAGCCGTGCCGGGTACAACAGGTGCTCGGTGCGCGTGTGCCGATGAGCAAACGCGGGAGCAGGACGGGAGCATGCCACACACTAGCCCTGCTCCTCGGCACAGTGTCTTCTCCACCAGGCCGGTGGTCAGGGCGCGAGGTGGTCATGCCTCATCTCCAGTTCAGCACACGCTAGTCCTTGGGTAAACGCCATGTCTGTCCTCTCCTGCTTTCTGTTCAGAGCAATTCTTCAGGTAAGGATGGTTTTCCAGAAGCAGCTCATCCTCTCTCATTAGCAGAAGAGTCAATTATAGATACACATATCTTGAAGTTTTAAACTTTATCTTGTATTATATTTTATGCCCTTCCTTAACTAAAGAAGAGAATTCCTCCATCTACAATCTCAATGAGCCTACAAATCATTCTTGACTTAATACAAAAAGATGGTCAAAATAAGCACCGAGGTAAGTTTAGAACAAAAACCTATGGCGGGGTGGGGAGGGGTGGAAGAAAGCAGGGACCTTATCTTTGTATGTCCTCTGTACTCTGATTAATGGCTGGTACAGTGATAAGCATGTAGTAGATGCTCATAAACACCAGCATCTGTTTATCTGTGACTCACCTGCTAAACCTATTCACTATGTCTTACAAGTGAACAGTTTCTCACTCTTCAGGTGGCAAGTTAAAGCTGCCTATAAGTTCATTCACTCCAGTGAAACCTATCAATAATATGGTCAGACCTACTGAGGTCATGTGAGTTGCTCTGAGCTTATTTTTGGTGTGTGCCTAAGGGGGAGAGCAGTCTAAAAGCAAAGCCTCTTATTCCAGACAACAAGTAACAACAGTGTACAAGTTGGTATAATGAACTACTATCGTCCCACCATCCATTTCTCCCTTTATTTTTAGGAAACAGAATAACCAATATCGCTGCTCAATCATCCACAATCTTATGAAACAGAAGCGTGTTAGATGGTTAGCTCTTGGGACTCTGGACTAAATGGGTTACAGTCCCTAAGAGCTCGCCCGTAGCAGGCAATCAGTACACATCTATGAAGGAAGTGGATAACAGTATACTCTACGTATTGATGCAAAAACTAGTCACATGAGTTGGTTATACACTTGATTATTTTTCCCCATGGAAGAATTATATTCGGCCTCTTTGATGAAAATGGATACTTTCTTGATATAAACACACAGATTTCGAATGGACATTTCATAAACAGAGAGCAGGATCTTCTTTTACAGCTTTAAGGATTACTAAAACTAATTTTGATATCCGTTTTCACATTATGCACAGCTGAAAAATGAAGCCAATCTATATTTGTTTAAACAACGACTGAAGTTTTAAACAGCTTCATGCATTACGTTACCATGTTCCAGTCTGTTTCAACTTTTCTGAATATGGATTCCATTCTCCACACACCATTCTCCCATCCAGAAATGGTTTGGTTATTACTTGAAATGCGGACATAATGATTTTTTACTATATTATAGCAAAGGTGGAGCTGTTTAGAAATCTTCTCGTTTTCAGAGGGGATGAACAAGGTTTCTTTACTCTTAAAAAGAAAGCAGAATTAGTTTTTCAACATAATAGAAAACAGATCCATAGAGAGGTACTGCTATGGATAGTGGTTAAGAGATTCCTTCAACTTGAAAAGGAAAAACTGGTGCCATTGGAAAATCTGGAAAATATTTTACAGACTAAATATGAACAGTATGATGCTGACGTAGCACCAAACATTACTAGACAGAAAACAAGAAATATAAACTGTAGCTGACTTACACTTTTCGGATTTTGTGTCAACATGACTTCATTTCTACCACCACCATGTCTTAATTGGATGCTGCAATCCTCTCCTACAGCTGATTTCCCAGCTTTCAACTCTTAACCTCTCCACACAGTCATCAACATGATTGTTAAAAATGTAAATTGGGACACATCACTTTCTTTTTCTTTTTGGCTGCACCACGTGGCATGGGGGACCTTAGTTCCCCAACCAGGGATCGAACCCACGGCCCCTGCAGTGGAAGTGCGGAGTCTCAACCACTGGACCCCCCAGGGAAGTCCCTCACCTTCCTGCTTAACTGGCTCCACTGACCTCTCACTGCACAGGAACGCCACACCTCTACCAAGGCTACCAAGGCCCACGTGGCTTGTCCTCTGCTCCTTCTCCAACCAGATCCCACGGCACCCTTCTCTGCGGTCTCTTCACCCCCACTGTGTTACTTCTTCTTTAGTTCCTCACAAAGGCCCAGCCGCTTCCTGCCACGGGGCCGTGACACGTGCTGTTCCCTCCGTCTGGAATGCTGTTCCTTCTACTCTCCAGCTACGTGATTCTTTCTCACCCTTCAGGCCTCAGCCTAAAGCCGTTTCACCAGAGTCCTTTCCTGATGCCCGAAGAGAGGACGGTGCCTGGGAGGTATAGCTGGAAACAATCTTCCGCACATGTGAAATTGCTACAAAAACTCTTGTTTCACCAGGTAAATTTTAAAATTCCAGGCAAATTTTGCGTTCTATTACGAAGTAAATGTTTATTTTAATGTAAAACAGTCTCCTGAAATCACCGGTTGAATCTCAGGTTTGAGGAAGAGGATGTTATTTGTCCCGCGCCTGTCTGTGGCACCGACACAACGTCCCCTCCCGCTCAGATGTGAGCATAGCAGCGTGTGGTGTGCGGGGCTGGGCTGCCCTGTGCACTGCAGGCTGCTCGGCAGAATCCCTGGCCCCTCACCCACCAGATGCCAGTGGTACTGCCCCTCACAGCTGGGACCCCCAAAATGTCCCTGGACATTATAGATGTCTCCTGGAAGGCAGTCACCCACTGTTGAGAACCACTGCTCTAGTCTGTATCAACGTCTTGCTTCTAACTAATCAATTTACTAATCAATCAAGATAGTAGGTGATGCTTTCCTGTTAAACATTGGGAACTAGGTAGTACACAATGTAAAAACTTCAAATGTACAAGGATCAATAAGTAGAATATAAAACATCTTAGAGATGGAAAGAGGAAAATATTTATAAGTGTATAAACAAGAAGATAATTCCCTAGCAGAACCTGGATAAGGTTAAAAAAAAAAAAAGGCAGTTTATTATTTTTAGAAGGTGATTTTCTAACTATGAATTAGTATACTACACTTTAAAATGAGCATGTAATAATACTTCTCAATTCTTCTCTGTCAAAGATATTTCAGAGTGCTGACATAAACCAGATGGAATTAAAATATTAAAGTAGCACTGTCTACTATTTTACCAAGGATAACTAATTACCAAAGGGAAAAGAAAAATATATGTTACTGAATATATCATATTTCATAATTTCTTTAAAATATAAGATTAAGACAAAACTTCTCTTTATGAAAATATCACCAATGTTTCCTTCTTTTTCCAACCAATTTCAAGATACAGTTCCCTAATTTTTTAGGACTGACTTTTAAAACAAACATCTGTTTGTAAAGAGGAAAATGACTTTTTAAATCCACGGCCCTAATATGGTCTCCAATAATTGAGAAATTTAAAAAATGTCCATCAGGGAAAACAATCCGGGCATAGGACCCAATTCATATTTTTAAAGTTTAATCAATGTATATGCCATGCAAGAGGAAGCGCACTCATCCACAAAAAGAAAAAGAAGCGAAGACCTAAATACCCCCATTTTGAACTGAACACAGCTGTGAATTACATTAGCTCTTTTCAATTGGCTTCATTTAAATTTAGACTTGTAACTTGCACTGCATCAGCAGTGATCTGAATTATTTGTTGAAATTAGATCTTGTAATTCTATGGCTGAACCAACACTTCTAACTGCCAGCTAAAGATGATGGGATAAATTTAAAAGTAAACAAAGTTTACTAGAGATAATTCTCCCCTTCGGGACATATTCCTTTATTAGAGAAATGAGGTGTAACAATGGCAAATTTAGAAAAAGGAGATATAAAACTTTGTGTGGAACTGTTTGATACTGCTACTGTGATGGATTATTTTCCTTTCAAGCATTTTTCATTGCTTATCTTCTTAGACGTTTATATTAAATACTTTCTAGTGAGTCAACTTTAAGCTCCCTAAGAGCAAAGGACAGTCTATTGTACTTAAGGTCCATTACAAAGCATACTGCTTTAATGCTAGCCCCTAACTCTAGAAATTACATTTCCGTTGTTCATTACTTAATTTTGGGAGACTAATCAAGTGATAATATCTTCAAATAAGTTTGACTATATAATAGTACTCAGAGCAACAACACTTTCTAGCCAAAACCAGATGCAGGCAAGTATGTAATAAAAAATAAACACTTTCATCCGCTGAATTACCCAGATTCTATTATTTTTCCCACTTTATAAAGTTTTCCTAGCACTGAACGGGACTTCACAAAAGAGGATATCCAGAAGTTTAAAGAATGGGACTTCCCTGGTGGCCCAGTGGTTAAGAATCCACCTTCCAATGCAGGGGATGTGGGTTTGGTCCCTGGTCGGGGAACTAAGATCCCACATGCCGCGGGGCAACTAAGCCCGTGCGCCACGCAACTACTGAGCCTGCGCACTTCGAGAGCCTGTGTGCCGCAAACTACAGAGCCCACGTGCTCTGGAGCCCACGCGCCGCAACTAGAGAGAGAAAACCCACACGCCACAACTAGAGAAGCCCACGCGCTGCAATGGAGAGCCCACGCACCGCAACAGAAAGATCCCGCATGCGGCAACCGAAGACCTGACGCAGCCAGAAATAAAAATAAATAAATAAACGAAAGTTTAAAGAACAGACATTCAACTTCATCATTCAGCACCAAAGTGCAAATTTAAAATCGGAAAAAAAAATAGATATATATGTACATATAACTGAATCACTTTGCTGTACACCTGAAACACAATATTGTAAATCAATTATACTTCAATAAAAAATAAATTAAAAAAAACTGTTTTCCAGGAAAAATAGTAATTTCTTACTAAAAAGATAATATAATCACAATATAATACTATCACTACTATATACCACCAGAAATGCTAACATGAAAAAGACAGGCAACTATAGGCAGAGCCGTAGAAAAGTCTCATTTACTGCTGGGGAGGGTGTAAACCGGCACAGCCACTCTGGGAAACTGCTCAGTGGCATCCGCTAAAGCCAAACATCCTCACACTACCGCTGCGATCCAGCTATTCTGCTCCCGGGTAGGCACCCATCTGAAACGCATACACATTCACTGAAAACATGTCTGTGTATGTTCACAGCAGCGTAAGTTTTAAAAACCTGAAGTATAGCTGATATACAATATTGCGTTAATTTCAACTGTACAGCAAAGTGGTTCAGTTATTTCTATATATATTTTTTCAGGTTATTTTCCATTATAGGTATTACAAGATACTGGATATAGCTTTCTGTGCTCTACAGTGAACCCTTGTTGTTTATCTCTTTTATACATGGTAGTGTGCATCTCTTAATCCCATACTCCTAATTTATAACCCACCCCTCTCCCATTTGGGCAACCATAAGTCTGTTTTCTATGTCTGTGGAGTCTGCTTCTGTTTTGTAAATAGATTCATTTGTATTATGTTTTAGATTCCACATACAAGTGATATCATGTAATATTTGTCTTTGTCTGACTTACTTCACTTAGTATGATAATCTCTAGGTCCGTCCATGTTGCTGCAAATGGCATTACTTCATTCTTTCTTATGGCTGAATAGTATACCATTGTATATATGTACCACATCTTCTTTATACATTCATCTGTTGATGGACATTTAGGTTGTTTCCATGTCTTGGCTATTGTAAATAGCACAGCAGCACAATTTTAAGCCAAAATCGAGAAACAACCCAAATACCCAATAGTAATGTGGATAAATTATACTATATTCACACGGTGGAATATTATACCACAATGAGAAAATAAATGTTCTATAAACACGCAGCAACAAGTATGAATCTCACTAAATAATATGGAGACAGAAATCGTCCACAAAAGAGTACATCCTGTATGATTCCATTTACATAAAGCACAATAACAGGCAAAACTAGTCCATGATATTAGAAACCAGGAAAAAGGTCACTCTTAGGGGTGAAAGACAGTGGCTGGAAGGGAACTCAGGTCATTCAGACATCTGCTTGTCTAACTTCTTATTCTGGTTACATGTGGAACCACAATTTGTGAAAATCTGTTAAGCTGTACACTTGTAATTAATGCGTTTTCATGTACTTTAGTCATAACTGCCCTAGAAATTTATGTAAGGTAACAACAGAAAAATCCCATTTTAACTGCTTTGCTAACTCTTGTATGTAATTATACTACATCAATCTATTATTGGTTCTCTTCAAATGTTTACATTTTTTAATAATTACCCTGCAAAGTTCATTGAAAGGTCATGGCCAACCGTGTTTTCCTGTACGTAAAGGGCACAGGACAGGAAGTGGTAAAGTGAGAAGGTTATCAGGCTGTAATGAAGTAAATACCTCTGGACCCATTTCACCTCGGGCTACTCTCCACGCCAAGGACCCAGATATCCTTCCTCCAAGTTCTCCAGGCTTAGGGCTTTTGGGAGATATAAATTCAACAAGCTCCACAATGATCCTCTGGAGAAGTTCTTTTCTTCTGTTTTCTGACAAAGATATCTGCCTCTGTAATGCACGTTTAAAAAAACGTCATTAACGATTAGGGGAATGCAGAGGTCCATCTCTAAGTATGAATATAATTAAGACATTTGTATTTTAACAGGGTCTTGGAAAGAAGTAACCAACTTTGTTTTCATACATGTAATTTTGGAAAATAGAAAGGACACTGTGGAAACAAAATACTTTTACAAATTTTATGTTAAGAGATCACTGAACACCCATATCCAACTTCCCATGCCTTTTACTGGCTTAAGTTTAAAACAGAGGCAGCAGCTTCTGTTTCTGGCTGTGACAGACTAGCCTGAATCAGACCAACTGTCCTGCTGAGAAAGGGGAGGACAGCAGGGAACAAACACAAACACACACACACACACACACACACACACACACACACACACACACACCCCAACAGCTGTCTGAATGCAACACAAAGCTACAAAGGTAGCCCGACCTGAAGAAGCTAAGATCCCAAGGGAAGAAACAAACTGAGGTGAACTGAACTGCACCTTTTCTCCCTTCCAGGCATTTGCCAATCATCAAATGGCCCAAGGAGCCGAGCTCAAAACAGGAGAACATGCTGAAACACTGAATCTCAACCACTGTAAGGTGACCTGCCCTATTCTAATTGCCTGCCAGCAGCAAAATTAGTTGTTTTTTAAGTCATGAAAAATAATATGCATATATATATATATATATATATATATATATATATGTGTGTGTGTGTGTATTTGTATGAGTGTATGTATATATATATATATATATATATATATATATATATATATAGTAAAAAAAATTTCAGTACTACCAAAGGGGTATAAAATCAAAGCTGAAACTTCCCTCTTGGACCCCCCAGTCTTCTTCCCAGAAATACTCATTGTTAACAACTTCCCGTGCCTTGTTCCAGAAATTTCCCTACGTGGACAAGTGTGTGGGTAATTATATTCAAGACACAATTACTTCGAAAAATAAGGCAACGTATTTTTTATGTCAACTAGTATATATATGGAAATTCTGTTTCACTGAACTTTGAGATGTGACAATTTAAGGCAAAAAAAAACCCCCCACCTCACAATACTTAAAACAAGTCCTCAAAAATTTTAATTTAAATATTTAAATATTTTTCATTGTAAAATAAAGCTACTACTTGAAGAACTTCACTGGGTTAAAAAAAAAAATTGGCTATTCTTGATTATATAATATTTCAAACGTCCTCTGAAAAATGACAAATGCCCATCACATACCTGCTTATTAAGTGTATTAATAGTTTCTCGAAGTAACTCTTCTTTAATTTCAGTTCTTCTGGAGATTACCTCTTCATGTTTACAAGAATATCGCCAAGTGACATCAACCACCTCGAATTATAGGACACAAATATTTAACAAGATTACAACCGTCAACATTAATTTGCTAAATACCTAGAATGCATGTAATTCTTAAATAGAATTTTTAAAATGCTGTCCTTTGTTTAACATTTTAAAACCTGTGGGAAAAAAATCAAAGAGAATATGCTTTTTATTCATTTTCTAACCAGTACACTTCCAAAAAAGACTGTGATTACGAGATAAAATTTTCAGAACATTTAGCTGTTTATAACTTACCTACAAAAGCCGATTTCACAAAATTCAACAAATACACTCCATTTTTATTGTACTGAATATATAAATTATATATAAATATATTATAGAACTGATTTTTGACAAAGGTACAAGGCCAATTCAGTGGAAAAGGATAACTTTTTCAACATACGGTGCTAGAACAATTCATTATCCATATGCAAAATAATGAATTTCAATTCACACCTTGGACTATCTACAAAAATTAGCCCAAAATGGATCACAGACACAAGTGTAAAACTAAAAGTATAAAACTTCTAAAAGAAAATGTAGGAGAAAATCCTTGTGGCTCGGGCTAGGCAAACATCTCTTAGACATAACATCAAAAAGCAAGATCCACAAAAGAACAAATTGATAAACTGGACTTAATCAATTTCTTCTCTTCAAAAGTCACTGAGAGAATAAAAAGACAAGCCAGATAGGGAGAAAATCCTTGCAAAGCACATACCTGAAAAAGGACTTGTATTCAGAATATATGAAGCGCTCTCAAAACTCAAGAATAAGAAAATGAACAACCCAATTTAAAAAAAGAAAGGGCAAAGAAGAGAAACGGATGACAAACAAGCCCATAAAAAAGATGCTCAGTGCTGGTCCTCAGGGAAATGCAAATGAAACCACAATGCGACACCACCGCACGTCTCCTAAAAAGGGCTAAAATGAAAAAGTCAGGCCATACTGTTAGCAAGAATATGGAGAAACTGGGAATTCGCACATATTGCGGATGAGAATGCAAAAGAGCATCATCACTTTGGAAAACAGTTGAGCCAGTTTTTTAAAACGTTAAACAATCACCTACCATACGATTGGGTCATTCCACTAGCAGGCATTTACCAAAGAGAAAAGAAAGCATATGCCCATATAAAGACTTGTGCAGCTGTATTTGAAATAGTAAAAAAACTGCAAAGTACCCAAATGTCCATCAACAGGCAAATGGATAAACAAACCATGGTACATTCATACGATGGAATACTGCTCAGCAATAAAAAGAATAAATTATGGATACTTGCAAACACATGGAGGAACCTCAAAATAATTACGATGAGTAAAATAACCCCCCCCCATCAAAAAGAGTATATATGATTCCGTTTACATACAACTCTGGAAATACACATTAGTGTATAGTCTCAGAGAGTAGATCCGTGGTTGCCTGGAGAGGGGCAAGAAGGAGCGAGAACGAACACAAGGAAACTACTGGGATAATGGATGTGTTCACCACCTTGGCTGCAAAGGTCATCTCTCGGGCATATACAAATGACAACACTTATTAAATTGTACATTTTAAACATGTGCTGCTTATTTTATGTCAATTATACCTTCAAAGGCTGTCAAAAAAGAAAAAAAAATTTATTCTTAGAACGCATTTTTTCTCTTCCGTCCTACCTCATCTTTAGAAAATGCGATGATGTAGGACAGCTTCTTGCCCCAGCCGATCTCATAGAGGAGGGGCTTGTCACAGACGTCTTCACACGCGTCACAGTGCAGCCACCGCTGCTGAGAAGGGGAGTACACTTCTGTCCAGACGTGGTCTACACAAGTGACAGACGAAGACATGACAGAAGGAGAAAAACAAAAGCTAAGTTTATAAAACCAAGACTTCCAATAACTATATACAAACGCCTAAGATGAGAACCACACGATAATATGCAAGATTCTAAATTTTAATTAACAAGTGAGCATTTTGTGGCACACAAGACTCTAGAACATCTGCTTTAATTTCTCTTTCTCTTTTTTTAATAGGGGCAATTCTTGATGACTTTTTTTTTTTTTTACTTTTTAAATTTTCTGGCCGCGCCCTGCGGCATGTGAGATCCTAGCTCCCCAACCAGGGACCGAACCCGTGCCCCCTGCAGTGGAAGCATGGAGTCTTAACCACTGGACCGCCAAGGAAGTCCCTCTCTCTCTCTTTGAAATCCCTGCAATTGTTTTGGAAAATCTCCTTTAATACAGTCAGTTTTAGGCTTAATTAAAAATAATGTGAGCTATAACTCTGAAAAGGGCAAACACATTGAACAACAGCACGTAAACCACAGAACTAATGCACAGAGTTTGCTAATGTGAAGGAGTTAATTCCACTTTGGAACTGTAGGCCAGCAGAGGTCTAACAGAGGATGTCTGGTTACTGATGGTCTCTATTTGACTGTTAAGAGAACAATCACTATTAAGTGAAGGTTTCATTTTATCCTAAGAAAATAACAGAAACACAAGTAAAAAAATCTAAGAGGAAAAACTTTTTAACATGTGACACAAGTTATAACTAAATAAGAACAATATAAATCTCACATGCCTTTTATTATATTTTATTGTATATTAAGATTACTAAATCTTTTACACTAATCTCTACAAAAATGAAGATTTCTACAGAACATTATTACACACGTTCTTATCCATAGAGAAACAGCACTACTAAAATGTCATGATAAATTGTTAATAAAAAATGTTTATAGTGTAAAGTACCAGGCAAAATGCTAGCGGTACTAAAAACAATCCTGTGATCCCCATTAAAAAAAACCAAAAACACAAAAACGCCACGAGGCTGGGATTACTGCTATTTACAGAAGGCAAATGGAAACACAGACTGACAAGGCGGGACTGTACACCCCATCTTGAAGTCAGCAAGACCACCCTGGCCTCTGCCCACACGGCGTCCGCACCTGTGTAATCCCAGACGTAGCGGGCTTCGAAGCCCAGGGCTCTGCAGCACAGTGTGAAACAATTGGCCCACTCCCCGCACCGTCCACATCTTGTTTCCAGAAGTTTCTCGGGATTATTATACCTGGTTTAAAATAACAACAACAAAAAGCTTCGATTCATTATAGAAATCCAGCATTCTGAAGAATTTATATTACCTCTGTGCTAAACAGTAATATTTCTTAACTTCATATTCCTAAATAACAATTAAAGAGCCTAGAATATGTGAGGCATTGTGCTAGAATCCTGGGTGGAAAATGATTCAACAGTGGTACAGCCTTCAAGGAGCTTACAGTCCTGAGAGAGGGAAGGAGAGAACACAAAGCATTTAAATACACGGCAGAATGTGATACCAACCCTACGACAGGTCAGAATTAGTGTCATGGGGGAGGGGTCGGGGAGGAGGGCTTGATCCTGAACTGGGCCTTGAAGGACAGGCAGGATCTGGACAGGCAGATTCTCTAGGAAATCTGCATTAAGCATTAGTGTTACTCTAACAAGTGGTATAATTAGCTCATTGTACTTCAAAGGTAAACAACTTTAACAAATAACTCAAGAAAGATTTTAAAGCTTAGTTGAACTCAGTTTTACTTAAAATACTATTCTTCTTTCTAACAACCATTTGGATTGAAATTTTATTCTGCTGAATTACTTAAAGGTGTTTGCTAATTTGCAAGTTGTGTTCTGAAATGTGTTGGCAACATTCTTTTAAAAAGTTACTCCAGTTATAAAATTATCATAAAGCTGAAGCACATCAAAATTTGCGTATTGTGTTGAGAAGGATTTTGAGCTAATAAAGCTACTCAGGAAAAGTGCCCAGCTGAGCAGCGATGTCAGCTGTGAATGAACCGTATCTGCAATGACAAGCTCTCTGTCTTCAATCTAGTAGATGCTCTTGCTTGAGCTAAGTTAAATGAATTTACGGTTTAGGTAAGGTAGTTACTGGAAAAAGTTGCATATTAACATGAAGAAGTAACGGCAGCAGGATTAGAGCATCCTACGCCTCCATCTTCTAAACACACTCATGCCAACTCGAAAGGCTGCTTGGTCTCTGATTAATAGTGTTCATCCTCCCAGCCCTACCCAGAGAACAGCTAACAGTAAGACAAGCACACGGTTAGGAGGAAAAAGGACAACGCTCGGTACAGACACCTTTGTTAGCCTGTCTCCCTGTGCACGCACTATCAGTCTACACCCAACTGCTTAGACTTTATGAGGACAGGATTTAATCTCAGACATCTTTCATCTTCAAATCTTTGCAAAGTACCTGTGCACACATATGCTGAATGAAAAAATAACCTGCGCTTATTTTAGGTAATTATTGGACAGTGGATTCTGTTTATCTTAGACTCTGTGTATCACAGGACTGATTCCTCATTAGGGCGGAACTGAGTCCCTAAGCCCCCAAAATCAGGTATTTCAAAAACTTGATATCTTTTCTTGCCTGATGATACAACCAAACTTTACAAGTACTGTCAATTAAGAACATCTGATAAGAGACTTATAAAATAAAGGATGGAAAAAGTGAACAGAAAAGTTCCAGTTCCCTTAGTTTAAATTTAGAGATATGAGGGTAGGTTAGGTTGGTAGCAGAGGCCCCTAATTAAACTTCTATCATTCAAGATAAAATATGATGAGGGAATTTCCCTGGCAGTCCAGTGGTTAGGACTCAGTGCTTCCACTGCAGGGGGCACGGGGTCGATCCCAGGTCGGGGAACTAAGATCCCGTGTGCCACACAGAACAGACAAAAAAAA